AGCTGGAGAGGGAGAAAGAGAGGCAGTCTCACCTGGAATTCGTTTTTCTATCTTTTTTTTTCTTCTTTTGGATGGATTTAGTTAGCATTTCTATGGTATGCAGGATGACAGCTTAATGATGCCGGAGAGAGCCTCTGTGTGTGAGTGTGTGAGATGCTATCAATCTAGTTTGCCAACAACTCACTAATGGACATGAGCTTCAGAGCAAGCAGGAGGTAACATTACCAGCTCCAAACTAAACAAACTCACGGACACGCTTTCTCTCAAAGACACGCACTCACACACAGACATGCATCATATGCTACTTTCATATGACCATAGAATTTCAAGATATAAGCTTGCAACAACTGAATTTGACTAAGATTCTTCAGGAAAAGATGCAGCACATTTTGAAATGTTAGATTTCACCATGATTCTATTACACTGTAAAAAAAAAATACTTTGAATGAAATGAACCCTGTGCCTGGTGCCTTAATCATCATAACAGTCCATAGTGATGGATAAAAACTTATTTACTGTCACCTTAATAAAAGTTGTTCATTTATTGATTTATTTCATGCAAACCATAGCAGGACACTATTATTCCCACATATTAACATAATTGAATTTTTAAGCATGTTTGGTGATTCACATTCATTGTACATCACATAAATGAGCGTAGGGGAAGATGAAGAAGATGATAATGATGATGATAATTATTGTTATTACAACCCCATTTCCAAAAAAGCTGGGATGCTGTGCAGAATGTGAATAAAAATAGAATGCAATGATATTCAAATCATCTAAACCATATTTTTAAAGGGAAATACTACAAAAAACAACATATCAAATGTTGAAACTGAGAAATCGAATTGTATAATATATGCCCATTTTGAATTTTTAATGCCAGCAACACGTTCCAAAAAAAGTTGGGACTGGGGCATGTTTACCACTGTGTTTCATCACCTCTTTATTTAACAACATTCTGTAAGCGTTTGGGAACTGAAGTGACCAACAAGTTTTGAAAGTGAAATGTTTTCCCATTCTTATTTGATATAGGATTTCAGCTGCTCAACAGTTCGGGGTCTCCTTTGTCATATTTTTCATTTCGTAATGCGCCAAATGTTTTCAGTAGGGGACAGGTGTTGACTGTGGGCAGGCAGAAAGGCAAGGCCTTCCCTGAAAAAGACGTCGTCTGGATGGCAGCATATGTTGCCAAAACATGTTTATATTGTTCATCGTTAACGATGCCTTCACAGATGTGCATGTAACCCATGCCATGTGCACTAATGCACCCCTATACCATCATGAATACTGGCTTTTGAACTGTGCACTGATAACAAGCTAAGTGGTCTTTAGCCCAGAGGACACAGTGTCCATGATTTCAAATTTTGATTTGTCGGACCACCGGACACTTCCACTTCCCCTCAGTCCATTTTAAATGAGCTCGGGCCCAGGGAAGGAGGCGGCATTTCTGGATCCCGTTTATATGTTTTCTTCTTTGCATGGTAGAGTTTTAACTTGCATTTGTGGATGCAGTGCTGAACTGTTTTCACAGACACTGGTTTTCAGAAGTGTTACTGAGCCCATGCAGGGATTTCCACTACAGAATCATGTCTATTTTTAATGCAGTGCTGCCTGAAGGCCCGAAGATCACAGCCAGCAAATACTGGTTTTTGGCCTTGTCCCTTGCATACAGACGTTTCTCCAGATTCTCTGAATCTTTTAATGTTATTATGTAGATGATGAAAAGCAAAAGTTCTTTGCTATTTTACGTTGTGAAACGTTATTCTTGAATTGTTGCACTATTTGATCATGAACCCCTCCCCATCTTTACTTCTGAAAGACTCAACCTCTCTGGGATGCTTTTTTATACCCAATCATGTTACTGACCTGTTGTCAATCCCAACTTTTTTGGAATGTGTGGTTGGCATAAAATTCAAAATAGGCATCTTATTGTTTTTATTTACATTTTGCACAGCATCCCAACTTTTTTGGAAATGGGGTTGTATTATTATTATTATTATTATTATTATTATTATTATTGCTATTTTCTCTGTAAGTACATCTGCTGATGCTTTTGGGCACACTGACAGTGAAGATCTTGAGATCAGCAGATATACAAATCCAATTCCAAAAAAGGACAGTTAGTAAGATGTAAATAAAAGCAGAAACAGGTGATTTACAAGTCTAATTTGAACTGTATTTAAATGAAAACAGTAGAAGGACAAGATATTTAATGTTTTATCTTATCAGCTTTATTAGTTTTTTGCTGCAACTAAAAAGTTGGGACAGGGGCAGTTTAAGACTAGAAACTTTGTGAAAGGACATCTTAAACAAGTGGTGCAATCATGCTTAAATATAAAAGAAGCATCAATGAAAGGCCTAGTACTTTATAAGCAAGGGTGGGTTGAGGCTCACCAGTTTGCCAAAAATGCATCAGCAAAAAAATCATCCAGACTGTTATTACCATAAAGTTCAAAAGCCAGGGTCTTTCATGATATGGGGGTGCATTAGTGGGTAACCTGCATTTTGGAGTAACTTATGCTGCCTTTAAGATGACTTGCTTTTTAAAGGACACCCGTGCTGATTTTAACCTTATAACACCGGGACGCAGTGTGCACATGTTACACCAGCATGGATGTGTAGTCAAAGAGCGTGGGTGGTAGAATGACCTGCCTACAGTCCAGTCCTCTCTCTCACCGAAATGAAAATGAAACAAAGTCCATGCACCTGTCCCAACTTTTTGGAGCATGTTGCAGGCATCACGTTTGGAATAAGCATATATTTCCAAAAAACAATAAAGCTCACAATCTAAATCATAAAATATTGTGTTTTTGTACTATTTTCAGTTTGATACAGGAGTGGACGTGGGAAGTGAGCTACTGAGGGGGCTGCAGCACTCCCTGATTTCAGGACTGCAACTGTTAAAAATAATAATAATAAAAATGTTCTGAAGCTTGTAATAATTTGAGTGTAATGTAGACTCGTACAAGTGGGGTTTGTATTTAAACTGCAGTAGCCCTGCACTTTTGAAGTGAACGCCATATTTTCATTACAGTGAGTGCAAAACTGTTGGCCATTTTGTTGGCCGTGTTACTCAAACACACACAGGCTGAGGTATAAAGAGAGAAAGCCTATGCAGAATTATAGTCCAGTTTTGAGTCCCAAAACAGCCAAACATTGCCTTTTAAACATATAAATAAGCATCTATTGTAATAATAGAGTTTTTATCTGCCACTCAGAGTGTGTTACAGTGTTAATTCTCACTGTGTTACTGTAGGCGTGACACAATTGGTTACCGCGCTACATATCAACAATGTGACTGGTCACCACTCAGCGCATTTCCATAAAGTTCAATGAGAGAGCAGGGAGAGGATGTGAGTCGGTGGTCTGATGTGTCAGTTATATGTGTAGGTCGTCATCTCTCGCCTCATTATAGCACTATATGACACGTTCTAGCTGATGAAAATTAGACAGAAAAAAAAATAAATAAATAAAAAAAGGGTTGGTCATTGGTCACGTTACATATACACTGTTTAATATTTCATTAACCCCATCTTAAAACGCCTACCCACTTCCCTGAATACAGGTGAAACAGAACTTGCATCAACTCTGGTTTATTGGCACTTCACATACTATACCGACATTTTTGTAAATGGATTTATAATTACGGATATAATAATAACAAAAAGAACAACAACAACAATTTTTCAACCAGTAATTTTGAGAACTCTGAAGCAGATACAGGTGCAAACAGGTTTTGCCCAGTTTAACAGTCTATCACAATTATTTCACATGATTTTCACATGATTATCTCAGTAAGAGGATTCTGTAAACGGCACGTCTAAAAGAAACAGTGCAATGCAACATAAATACGTTAAATGGATGAAGAAAAGCAACATTATACATCAGAAAACACATCAAACCAGCTTATTCAGAGACTTACTTTATCCAAAAATTTAAACCATACTTTTTTGAATATTCATATATTCAAATATTCATTGCAGTCAAAAAATACCCCATGATGCACTGATGCATTTTTACTCCCTGAACAGAATAAGTTACAGTAGTTACTCTATTTTTGTGTTTGTTGAGGCAGTCAGTTGGACACTGAATTATATTTGAACGTGGGGGACAGCTAAAATAAAGGGCTACTTAAGCACCATCAGCTCCAGTCTGGTACCACTTATCTTTATTGGGCCGATATCAGCAGACAAATCTAACCACTCACATTGTGTGATGTTGTAGTGTATTTCTTTCTGTGGGGAAGGACAGTTTTTGAGTAGTTTGGGCATGATAGCTTACTGCTTTTAGATGCTCTTAAGTGAAATCTTTCAATTAAAAGTATCTTGTTCTAAAGAAGAAATATCGAATCAGTATCAGTATCGGTCAATAATCAAGGCTCCAATATCAGTTTGTATCAGAAAAGAAAAAGAAAGAGCAGTTATACTGGAAAGTGAGCTGCTTACTGTGTGTGTGTGCCTGCCCGTGCGCATGACTATCCACATTAATTATTGATAGAAGCAGGCAGGCCGATAGCGCATGTGCCAGCAGTTTGTGTTATGAGAGCTAGCGTGCAGTAACTGCTGATGGAATGAGAGACTGAGAGACAGGAGACCGTAGTAGAGAGAGAGAGAAACAGAGAGATGCACCTGTAGCTGCGTGTGTAACAATCAAAGTGCTTAGCAGCATCTGATGTAGCAGGGAACAAAGCGAGAATGAGACAGAGAGGGCGACAGGAAGAGACTTAGGATTCTCCGAGATAAAAGTCAGTTAAGAATGCTGATAGTGAAATGTAGCCAAGTAAGACAAGAAGAAACAATGATGGGGAATAGCGACGAAGGCTAGGCACGGAGACTTGAGCTAAACAGCGCTGACTATATTCATGAAGAGTTACACAGGAATAGACAGAAAGAGTGAAGGAGAAACTGACACAGATAGAAACCTAAAGACAGATTCTCAGCTGGTGTTTAAAGATGATGAGCAGACAAGCTTATTTCTATCGTGTTCCTCCCCAGGAGCTACACCGGAGGAATCAACAGACAGATCCAGCTAAAACCAAGGCCTTGCAGACCGTCATTGACATGAAGGTAAGAGCACTAACACTGACCCTATAACAGTCGACACACCTGAGTTGTCAAGCCAGGTATAGTCTAACTTCAAGTCTTATTTCAGGTTAGCTCATGCATTAGTGGGTAAGCAGCACCAGTTGGTTTACATTTCTTACTGTGTTACCTACAACTTTCACAGCTAATGAAAGTAGTAATGGATTATAACTGAACTTCAGGTTTGATTGGTCAAATTAGTAATTAATACAGCTGGTGTAACAGCAGTTTGGGCTCAGCTGGAACTTGTACAACTGTGGTGTTTATTGGAGTTTGCCTGGAGTTTTTTGGTCTAAAAGTGGTTCATCACTTTCTTAATATCAGTAGATATTGACACTTAGTGGAGTAGCACAATGGACAATACATTGGTCAAATTGGAATCAAACACAGACAAATATGTGATAATACTGAGGTAGTTATCTCTGTATTTGACCCTTTAACTCTCTACAAACTTAAGGCTGTTTTTAAAGGTAAAAATAAATGCAATTATGAATCTAAATTCTGAGTCTCGTTGAACCAGTCTCAAGTCAAAACTACATTTTTTAACCTCAGTATGGAAGACAGAACCTGTACCAGTGAGCTGATTTCGGGTCGGATTTTAAGAGGCATCTGGACCGACTCAGATTTCCATTCACAAAGCGTACAGTCTCCAGATCAGTGGTTGTTGGGAACGTGCCAGTAATGCAGATGGTAGACCGCACTGCACAGCTGACACAGATCCATATCATTGACCCAGCTAACGACCGATTGCTAGAATTAAGCCGGGGCTCCAGTTTCCTATACTGAGCTGCTGGTTGCATGAGAATCGATTCTCTGTATGTGGTTAGAAATAAAGAGTATTTGTGTTGCTCAGGAAAGCATATATGAAAGTGTGTAGCACAGTGCTGCACAGCGTGGACAAAATATTATGTTGCGCTTCTATTGCTACACAATGTGATTGTAAAATACTTAGCAAAACACATCTGGGCAGCCTTGATGTGGCTGACCTGCACTTATTGAATCACGTAAAATGGATTTTGCAGCTTTGCACTCTGAGTGGCAAAAACAAATTTGTGATTAGTTAGAGGTTTGTTTGTATATTACAGCCTTCTGTGATATGCAATTGTGATAACAAATAAACTTCATACATATTGTGCAGCCTTAGAGTAACATTTTCCAAGGATATTTTCAACAGCTAGAAAATTAAATTGGAAATAAACAGATGAAGTTTCTAAACTCTAACCTTAAAGATTATAAGAAAATCTGCAAAACTGGCAAGCAACACTTCACCAAGACCTAGGCAACGAACAGAAGACAGTTTTGAAGTCCATCCATATGGTGCTGCTTGCTATTGAAGGCCAATGGCAGGAAGAGCTCATGTTGCTCCGCTTAAAGAGAGCACACTTATTCAATTTGTTTCAAATGTCACATATGGAAGCTTTCACTCTGTGCGCTGACTTTGAAGTTAGGGCAAGCTGTGAAAAAAAGGTTGCCCACTTCACACACACCCACACCGCCACACACACGCACACACACACGCACATGCATGTCTGTTGCTCCGTGTTTCTGAGCTAATTTGCTGCATGGATCTTTGGTTAGATCACATCATATCTGACCAGCCTCTGTCAGCGCGGGTTAAGCACACGTAAACAGCCAAATCAGACAAACGGGTTTGGACACACAGGGCTATGCAAGAAGCCCGTTTCCATGGTGATAGTTCTGCCGAGCTTGTGTTGTGTTCACTATTGTGTTTTTAACTACAGCTTCAGTCATAAGCTCTGTACGTGTGTGGACTGGAAATTTATCGATTTGAAAGGTGTTTGTGTTAGTAAGGTAGATGGGGGAATTGTTACAGTTGTGACAGTAAAATGTTTAATTAACTAAGGATGACAGTTGTTTGAAGCAGATGTGTTTTTTTCTGCTTTTGCGCCAGTGGTTATTTTTTAACTTATATGTATAGGATACATTAAGATTTCTAATTACAGAAATTAGTGTATTTGTGTCTTCAGAGGTCTCAATCATGTAAAATGCTAATACTTAACATGACAAATGATTGAGGCTGACTAATTTTTGATTAGTAACACATTAGTAACCTCAGCCTACAGATAATGTGGCTGACAGAGCAGCACTGCTGAAGGGATACGCTGCGTAGTGGAAATATACTGGGCACAACTGTCTTGTCATAATTGTAGATTTAAATGTAGATTTAACAAATATCAGTATTAACTGGTTAACTACAGTTTCAAATATGATTTTGTTCCTGTTTTTTGAACATGTTCTATAAAAAATGCTGTTTGTGATCATTTAAATGAACATTTTTACTGCCAAACAGAGCCTAAGATATTGGTTGAAATCTATGGTCATATGATCCTTTCAGAACATGACAACAAAACCAATGTACTGCACTGTTTCCCTGTAGAAGTTTATTTAGATGCGTTTAACTGTGTTCAGAGTCCTAAACGGAGAAAAACAATGCTGCGTGATTAAGCAAAACGAACAAGACCAGCATTAAGGTTTTGACCAGCATTCTCGCCTGTGCCCTCAGCAAAGTAGTCTATCATGGTGAGCTACACTGATTAACTAGCACGATCAGGCTGGTTATGTGGGACAGCTTTTCTCTGGCGACTGCTTTATTGATGATGACGAATGAAGTTAAGAAAAATGAATGTATTACAGGGCCATTTCTATTGGTGCGTTTGTTATGAAATATTCACACAGTGTAGGGCAGCTGACATTTTTAATGATATAAAAACAACATCAACAATATATTTCACAGCTTACTGTAGCTCATCCATCCATATGCTCCCACGTACATTAAAAATAGGCATTCATTAGATACATCTGTGGCATCCAGACGTCTGTTTATGTCTGTCTGTGCTAATGTATTCATTTATGTGTTGTCAAATATGTGTTGTCTGCTTGTTTTTGTTGCTTGCATATTTTTTTAGTTTTTTTCTGTGTTCCATGATTTTGTATACTGTGAGTGAGTGTGCTGAAATGTGTGTTGTGTAATTTGTTCCAGAACACATCGCCTCCATTCTGTTTTGACCCTGATGTTATTTGGCAGGTATAGTACACATGTTGATTGTAAAAAAGCTTCCTTCTATTCTATACGACATGTTTCGCAAACTCTACTATTAATATACAGTCTGTCACTGTATATTAATTCTGCCATCACACCTTTACTTCGAATTCATGTAAATATGAGAGTATTTGTGGTCTATTTTTTCTAACTTACATTCTCTATAGATCTCACAATAATCTGACTTCATTTCACATAATCAGTGAATGGCATGTAAATGGCATTAAACTAACTACTCTTTCTGTTGTGTAATTTTATTTATTTATTGTTTGTTTGTTTGTTTTTGTCCTGCCTCTTGTACTTCATGGGGACATGTGCAAAATTAAGCTACTATAGTTGAGACAGTAGTTCATGTTGCAAGAAAAGTGCAGCTTTGCAGGGAAAAATGTTGAACACTCAAAAAGAATATTTGCTTCTGAATGTGACCTTGTTCATCTGTTAAATTCAAGATCAGTTGATGTTTACATCAAAATTCAGTGTCCACATTTGCTCATAACCTTTAGCAGAGGAATTGGTCTTTTGCTTAGGGACTTGTTATTTTATTGTCTACTATCTATGATTAGATAATAATAAATATTCTATTTGCCCTTTAAATTCTTGTATGTTTCATTAATTTTGTCTTAGAAGTACATCATCCCAACTATCTCTCCATCTCCGCCTTTATATATCTGTCATCTCTTCTCTTTTGCAGTTGGTAGTTTTCTCAGAACTAGATTTCATATTCAAATCTGCTTTCATTTGTTTCATTATACTTGCAGTTTCCTTCAGCAAGCCACATTATCCTGCATCTTATTTTATGATTTGGGCAAGCCCACAACGTATATTTGCCAGTCCAAACTGTCATGGATTTGTGAGGAACAAATTCATTTTAATGCCCTTACTAAGGCTGGGTTTTAAAAATGCTCTCCATGGTTACCACTAAGCCACTCCACTCCACAGTGTTCACGGTCCTAATGTCCTACTCTTAATCCAGTTTGTCTAACGTGGACGTTTTTTGAGTATGACTGCAAGTACATTTATGTTTTAAACTGTACAAGAACCCTTTGCAGTCTGTATGGTATAAAATTTGATAGTCATGAGAATACCTCAGTATTTTTCAGCCTAATCTTTGTGTACCTCATCCATATCATATGGTCGATTGGCATGGACAATAATTTTTTATGCGTTTTGTTGTACTTCATGAAGGAAGATAAAAGATGTTAAAACACACTGCAGTTGCTTCAGTAGTTATTATCAATGGTAATCCAACATATAAAAAAGATGCAGCATACAGTGGTTTAACAATAAAAGTCAGTTTATATGGAAGAAATGGTAGCTGTGTTGACTGTTTAAAAGTGATTAAAAGATTTTTGTTTGTTTGTTTGTTTGTTATTAAACTTTTCTTTATTGTCCTCATGGTTTGACATCCTGGTTCAGAAGCCATTGTCCTCTTATCTGAAGCTCAATACTCACGCACTACATCTTCATTCGCTGCCTGTCTCGTCCCTCTGTGTCCGTGGCTTATTTCCGGCTGATTACTGCATGTGTCAAATCACCTCATCATTTCTAACTGTCGCTTCTTTCGAGATCTTCTGGTTCTCTTCTTGCTCTCTACGTTTGTGCTTCTGATGCACGTTTGCACGTGTCCCGTGCAGGACACCAAAATTGCCTCCCTGGAGCGGAACATCCGCGACCTGGAGGACGAAATCCAGATGCTCAAAACCAATGGCCTGCTGAACACGGACGACAGAGATGAGGAGCTCAAGCAGATGGAAGTCTACAAAAGCCACTCCAAGTTTATGAAGAACAAGGTTAGAGATTACCACACACCCAAGACCAGCTGCAAACATCAATCAAGATGGTTTCATTATTTTTCATGGACTGGGCAGAAGGCACTGCTTGATGGATATAGCTATAGATGGTACATGTATGGATTAAATTAATTAAAGGAATGGCTGGACAAGTACATGGAGAGATGAATGAAGGAATAGATTGACAAAAGTATGGAGGATCATATAAAAATGGATTGTGTTGGGGGGATTAATGGAGCACTGGAGACTGGATATGATTATGAGTAAATTGAAAGATAGATGGATGGTCTCAGGGATGAACATGTAGACACAACATGCAAAGCTGGTATTGGCTTACCCCAGCAGTGTCAGATGACTGTGGCAAGCTTTAGTATCAAGAATTGACCCTTCCAAATGGAGGATTAAGTTACATTAGCCTGAAAGTGTTAATGGTTTATTTATGTAGGACGAGGGTTTCATAAGAATTATTTCTAAATACTTTCAGGAAATATTTTTCCCTGCATAAAAAAATCAATTTGCTCATTTTTGTCTATTTTGTTTCTTTGAATGGAAGTTTGAGGTGCTGCTGAAGGAAGAATGGAAATCTCATTTACATTCCTAAATGGTACATAGCTTGGATGTACAGTACTAGGCAAAACCTTTAATTCGTATAGACCCTTTACATTAAGTGGAGGTTCCTTAACCTTTAAAAAATGTTCTTTGCACTCACACACCACACTTATTGTTCTTTAAAGAACCATCCGCTGAAAGGTTCTTTTGGGAACCTAAAGTGCTTCCTCTGTGGCATCACTCCTGAGAACCTTTTTTGACACCTTTATTTTCAAGATTTAGAATTATTTTTGTAGATCTATTTAGGCCTTTTTATTAGTCTGCTTTTTTGCCTGCATATTTTTGATTGAAGAGAAGAATGTACTTCTTTACTGGCACACTGGTACAGTGTACAGTGAAACTCGCACATCCTTTGAAAGTCTACTGTCTTTCGATCTCTCTTCTTCTGTTGCACTCTCACACACAACAAGTCACATACTTGGAACATCCTCACACAGTCATTCATGCACGGCCATCACTCTAAATCATATGTGTCACTCCTTCATCCGTCCCATCGTTCAGGGGCCCTTGCCTTTCAGCGCTAGGGGCCAGGGCACTGATGAATTGTGGGAAATCAAAGGCGCAGGAGCAGATAAGGGTGGCAGGTTGAGTTTCGGCCGTTTCCTGCTCGCCCAGTCGCCTCTCTATGGCCTCTATGTGTCTGTTCACAATGGCCTTTTGATGAAGACCAGCTTGGGGTGCCATAATCCTTCACAAGCCATCACACGCACTCCTGACCCCTATACGAAACACACACTCTCAGAGTGCCATGCGGAGGAAGAAAGAAAACGGGGAGAAAAAGCAAGTGAAACATCTTGTTTGTGTTTTTCTGCCTCTCTTGTTTCGTGAGGAAGGGTTTCAGGAAAAACTTGATAAATCACTGTATGAAGATTCTGGCCAGGGGGTGGCAGGGGTTTGTGGGACAAAAAAGGGTGCTAATAGGTTAAGACATTTTATTCTCTTACTACAGCATGGTGAAAAAGTCAGGGACCACCCTTTCATTCATTTAGTTTCCAATCAAAATGGCTGGAAGCTACTTGTTTTTCTGTGTCAGGAAAAAGGCAGAAAACATAAATTTAACAGAACATTACACAGAAGCCTCAACAACTAAATGTATTTTTTTCAGTATTTAGTGTCTCCATTCTTTGCCCTTATTACAGCTTCCATTTTTTTCTGAAGACTTGCTTTTTAAAGGAAAACTACAGGGATATTTTTCCACAATTCCAGAGTTTAGTCTCAGTATTTTTTGTTGCATTTCAATCCAAATAATTCTAAACACAATCAATGATGCTGAGGTCTGGACTCTGGGGTGGCCAGTCCATTGTTCTGAAAGTACCAGCAGCTTTGTTGTTTAATATGCAGGTTTTTTTTTTTTTATCTTTTTCCTTTTCTCAGTTCTTCTTGACAGCTACCCATAGCATTGGGTTGTCTTCTCACAGGGGAAGGATGGATAGAAAATCCTGTCAGATTTGAAGCAAAAGTGAAGAGTGATTTTCTCCTGTCTCTCAAAAATGAAAGCTTTAAGTACTGTATATCAGATGGTGACAGCTTTGGTGGTCTACCAGGTCTTGCATAGTTGTTGGAGTCCTGTTTGTTCTATATATTTAAATATTTTTTTTATACTCCAGTTTTTATTTTCCTCTGACCTTCACTTTTCTTATGATGTATACGTGGGCGACATTTGAGGCTAATGTCGGGGGGGCTCTCAAACTCTTTGTGTTTCTCATGTAGGTTTTCAACACAAGCAAGAAAAGTTCCTTTTACCAGTTTACCAGGCTATCACCCAGATCTGACTTTAAAAAGTGCTAATCGTTGATAGAAGCCGATTTCTTCTGATGCATAGCATTGAAAAGGGACAGCTCTGCACTCGTCTCCTCTTTGGGAAATCCACAGTGTCGACAAACAAATGCCAGGTCTGCTTAAGAGTGTTTTATAGAGCTGAGAATGTTATTCAGTGCGATTTGGCTTTCCACGTCATATTCCTGAAACCGATCACGGATTTCAGCTGTATTCGAGCCAGTTGTAAATTTCATACCATTCTTTCCTAAACTTTCAACCATCCTTTACTGGAAATTTAATGGTTGATATCACCCACTCTCAATAAAGTTCACATAATTTTCAGCGCAATAAATTGCATCTTGGTCTGATGACTGCAGCGTATAAGTTGAAATATGGGTAACCTCTTCAAAATCGCTGATTATCTGGGGTTGAGACTGGAGCAGAAAGGCTTGTTGCCTCTAAGTGTTGGCCCTATCATCAGGAGATTGTGAGTTTGATCCCTAGTGATGCTACAGCCATCCTTGGCCGGGAGTCCAAGAGAGCACAAATGGCCTCACTGTCTTTGGGTGGGTAGGATGGCCCCTCCTTCTCCCCCATCACTTATGTTTGTATATATACACACATATACACAGTCTCCTCAGAAATATCTGAAAAAATGAATAACTTGTACTTCATGGCATTTTTGTCTGGAAATTCAATAAATGGAGGTTGGTCTCTAACTTTTGAACAGTACTGTACATAAATACCTCATCATGACAACGTTGGAAAGGGTACAACGTTGAAATATGACATTATTTATTGGGGAATTTTGTTTTTGTTTTACCTTGAAAAGTATGATTGGTAGCTTGAACACGCAGCCCGTTTCAAATTATCTAATCCAAGAATCTAAGTTTTCCTCTTTGTGTTTTAGGAAAAGTTTAGGTCACCAACTCCACGAGTGACCTCTCGTTCACTCGACCAAACATACCTGCTCCCTCAGCAACAGAAGATATCAGACCAAACAAAAGTACTCACTCCTTCCCTCTGTCTTCTTTTCTGTTCTCTAACCTTGCTCTCTTTGTCTTTTCTATTCAGATGCATATCTGTTCCTCCTCCTCGAAACTGATGTTTTATTTCTCTCTCTTGTTCATTATTCTTTGTTCCTCTTGCTATTCTAAACATGGCTGGCATAGCAGCATGCTAAGTCATGATTAGACCTTCAGTCTGCACCAAAATTCAAGAAATCTTAATCAAATTTTTGGCAGTATTGGAAGATGAAAATCTTTCAAGCATTCTACTGACCCAAAAGAGACAAGCAAAAAAAAAAAGCTAGATGCAAGATGTATTTACTTTTGTTGTAGTCTTCACGCATTCTGAGTGATGTATATCTGCCAGATATTTGAATATAACAATGATTATGAAGTTTGGTGGGTGTTTTTGGCTTCTTTAGAGAGTTTTTCTTTGCTGGGGAGGGTGCTGTGCATTGTTTTTTTTCAAGCCTATAGGTAATAACAGTGTAATATTTTAGAATGGTTAAACTTTGGCACCAAATATGAAACAAACAGTGTGCCTTTCTTTCTAAAATTCTTTTAGAGTGTTTTCTGGCATGAGAGTGTTAAGTCTCTTGTCTGTAAAATGTTTTGCATGTCATCTTAGGAGCTCCTTTTTCTTTCTCTCCCCACTCAGATTGATCAGCTTAAGCAGGAGTTATCGAAAAAAGAGTCTGAGATGTTGGCCCTGCAGACTAAACTGGAGACCCTGACCAATCAGAATTCAGACTGCAAACAGCACATTGAAGTCCTGAAGGAATCCCTTACAGCGAAGGAGCAGAGAGCCAATATCCTGCAAACAGAGGTCAGTTTCTGTGTTTCAGAGTCTTAAGGACAGCAATACAATATGTTACACACTAAATGAAAGCAGTACATCTCTGCTGGAAATGTGAAGAGAAACTTTATTATGCCAAAAAAAAAAAAAATAACAACAAGATTTTTAAAAACATTACATTATTCTATTAATTTGAATGGAACTAGTTCCATAGAGCACATTTTAATGCTGTCTTATTTTCCTGACTTCTCGTTACTTCCCTGGAATTGTGGGAGAGTTGTAGGGTTTTCCTGTCCACACATTTATCTGGGCTTTCTGTCATTCAACTGTTTTATCGCTCAGACTGAGCTGGGGGAGGCCTCTCTGATTTTTGTGAAACATGGAACTTTCACTTTAGATCTCTTTGTTGGATGGGAAAATGGAGAATTCAGGCAATACCATGTCCACTCCTCCATTACAGGAAGCAATTTGGCCCAAAATTAGACCCTTAATTGTCTATTCATGTACAAAGATTGTTGTGTGTGTGGGCAAGGGGGGGAGTGAAGCAAATACCTAATATTAAAAGGAATGAGTCATTTCAGATTTGTAGGGAAGTTAAGAGGAAGGTAGGGAGGGGGGTATTTTAATGCAGAGTTGTGTGAGACATTGAAGAGAAGTTTATGGGCTTTTTTACTAAAATGGATACCACAGCAAATAATGATGGTGGTCATAGTGTTTAAGGTGCTCTGTACTTCTACTTCTCTCTCTACTATGAGTTGAGTTCATGTAATTATATTTAGCAGATTGAATCACTCTCATTCACGCATCCACCATCTACCACACGGCTGCAAAATGTGGATAAAACACTAGTATTGCAATTATACTGATATATCTTGAGATTATGATATGTCTAGTAGTATATGAAAACAGTGAATGAGCAATGTAATATGGTTAAAGATTGGCCTACTTTATTTCAAACCAAAATCATTTACTGTTGCAGGATTACATCAATACATTGATTCAACACCCACAGAAACACTCATCAGGGTCTGTGATTGGTCAAGATGCTCACAGCACACAGTAAATCAGTAGTGTTAGTGGTTATATGTTTGCATTTCGCAGCCTTCTGTGATATCAGCAGTGGCAAAACCAATAGTGTTACAGTGATTGAAGTGATGGCATGTTGTTGATCACTGTTGCAATACTGGACAGATGGTTCCACAACTTATGGGCAAACTCTTCTAAGCTTTGTGAAATTGGGAGAACAGAGAAAGCAGCGTTCATTAAAATGGTAAAATGGTTCTAGAATTCCATGTACCACATCAGTTAAAGCAGACTCCACATTCTCACGATGTCCTTTTGTAGATGTGGGTTCATTTTTTCTTTCTCTTTCTCTTCTTTTTGTTGCTTTCTGCTTCTCTGAACATTGATATTCAGTTGTGGATGGTGGGGTATGTGTGTCCATATGAGGGCTTGAGTGAGAGAGAATAAGTGATTTGTTTGCAAAGCTTCTTAGATCTCAAATTCTCAGATATGGTAATGATGTAAACTTTCAGCTGTGGTTCTCACAGCACCCCTGGTTATTCAGAGAGCACACAGTATGACCTGCTAGTGTGTGTCATTATGTGCTTCTTTCTCTGCCTGTTCCAGTGCTTGATTTTGTGCATGTATTTGCGATAGATAGAAAGCTGCCGTCCACAGGACTTGCCTGTGTGTTACTGGTGGCCTGCCTAGCGTAATAGAGGTTGAGCGTCAACATTGTTGTGGTTTAACGTTGCAATACTCTGCTAGGCCAAATGGCAGCCACCAGAGGTAGAACAGCCAAACAACAGTTCTGCTCTTCTGGGTTTTGGGGAGTGAGTTTCACTGCTTTTCAGCAGCAATGGCGGTTGCCATTAACAGAGCAGCCAACAGTTCTGTTAATCTTTCTTAGCTGGGCAATCTGAATAACACACTTATGTGACTTTTAGTGGCCTTACTGGAAAAAAATAATTGTTTGAAACCAGTCATAACAGTGCTACTCAGCAAATGGCTGCTCTGACAGATCGGTGAAATAGAGTATGCTGTGAACATGCTGACCAATCGCTCATGTTCCTGGCAAATGCTCTGTGAATGTCCTAATGAATCACTGACATTCATGCATCTTACAATTGTAATGATTTTTTCCCCAAATACTGCTCTTTAACAGCTTCACATGGATTAAAGTGTGTACTTTGTGTGTACAGCGTTTATAAAATGTGGTAGAACTGCAGTATATTTTGTTAACATAGTCACAAGTTTTTGTGCCGCAGCTGTAATTTAACCCCATAATTCCATGGGGAAGTCTCTCTCTCAGGTGTAGTGCAATGTGAAACCTAATCCACATCTCAGATGTCCAGTTAGAAATTTAGTGCATTTTTAATAGGGTTATAATTGGGGAAATACAGTGTATATCCAACCTGACTGACAGCATTAGATTGGTCTTGTTGTGGCTGATTTTACCAGAGTTAATGGGGCAATTGGTAAAAACTTCTGGCTTTCATTTTGTGCTTAATAAAAATAGGATAGATGTTTTCTTTACAATTTTGTTTGACAACCAAGATAAGAGTTAGGCTAATGCTAGCTTAGATGTATAGCCTATAGCTCAGTTACTAGGCTAAAAGTCAGGATTGGTTGACACCACAGATATTCCCAGTGGTTGTGTAATATATATATATATATAAATATTATGAATGCTGGGTCTTGTAGTGTTCTGAGAGAACACTGATGACCGAAAACATTAAAAAAAATTATCTGAATTCTGCCAAAGCGAGGTTGAGCGTTACATTGCTGTGCTACAGAATGCTGCATAACACGACAAATAATAAATTTATCTCTAGTTTTAGAGATATTGGTCCGATCTTGGAATTATGGCTGATAATCACAACACAAACTCTCACACGCAAACACTGATGACATACCACTGATCTGTCATTTGAAAACTCATTAGCAGCTAGCATCCTTTCTGTTTTTGTCCTACGCTCACTGCACTTCCTGCACTTATAGATTATAGCATGAACCTGTTTTGGAATGAAAGATGTAAAATGATTGATTATTGGTATCGGTATTGACTATAATAAGATGTCGATTTTCTGGTTAGTGTTAGCGGCCCAAAAATTTTAGATGCATTGCTAGCAGAGGATTGTTGAATTCGATGCCATGTATGTAGGATGAATACTAAATATTTTTGTGAAATAGTTTCGAATATTATTTGTATGTTTTGATTGTGGTAAATGATGGGAAAATTTATTTGGGCAAATTTACATTTCTAAAAAGGATAATTCATTGATGTCTAACTGCGTGTTCCATTGCTGTGGCCTTTTTATTGGAGCACTGTGGTCAAAGTAACCTGCGGGTGACTGTAACAGCTTGCTGCATAGGCTCATTATGTTCTTTTAAAATATATTGCAAGGATGTTTGTTGAAGGAAACAAATGAAAATTAACATTTTTGTGGGAATTAAAATACTCAGTATAGAACTAAATAAATAGAACTGCAAGGATGATCTATTTCAAATGAGTATCCAGTTACCTAAATGTTCATTTACTTCCCTGGTTCTAACCACTAAATACTGTTTTTGGAGTCTTTTCCTCTGGTCATTGTTCTGTGCAACATATTATGTTCCACATGGCTGCTCAGCTACACACATCCACACAGTTTCTGTCTCAAAATGAAAACCTTAATTGGCCATTAGTGGCACAGTTTCTGATAGTCTTGTGTGGAAACTGCTGAACTGAAAGCTTTGGACTGGAGACAGCAGTTTGCAGTGCTTATTAGAGGAGAATGAGATGTGCATCAAAACTTGTTTTTTGCTTAACATAGATCTGTAACACCTGAACTTTTTTTTTATTATTATTGTGAAAAACATGCAGCATGTTGTGGTATCTGGATGCCAAAAAATGCTTGAGTCACATACCAGTTTCTGGAGATCTTTCTGAACAAGTTTAGTTCTAACACTAAACACCCCCATCTTCTTCAACTAATCAGTGTTTTTTCAGAAGATATTTACCACTTTGATGTAGGATTTTAAACTGAAGCTGAACTCAGTAGGAAGGTAGATCTATGTTTTTTTTTATTTTAGTTCATGCCATTTATAGTTTTGTGATGTACTAGACAGACACGTGCAGTATGAACATTTTTGATATTCGAGTATCCATAGTTAGAAGGGTAAGAATGGATATTTGGTTAATAATAATTCAGGAAAGAAGGAAACAAAAGGGATTAGGCTAATATTAATGCATCGTAATACATAAACAGGGTAAACTGAGTTAGGTGCAATTGACACATGGCCTCCCAAGCAAGGTTTTTGTCTTCAGTAGATGATGCGCCAATATTTTGTCTTTAAAGGAATATTTTCAGTGTTTTGGTTTAGTTTGCCTGCTTACAGATGCACTGCAGACATGCTGATCTTAAGCCACTCATTTTGACTCATTTCTCTGTTGAAGTTATTGCAGTAGTCCTTTAGTGAATCACTGTTTTTCTTATGTGTGTATGTATGTCTGTGTGTGTGCATGTAAAGGCCATAGACAAAGGTACTGGTGGATTAAGAAATTTGTGGTTAAAAGACAAGTTTTACTTTAAGTAAGTGAAAAAGAATGTTGTTGAAATACCTTGTGACAGTTTAGTATTGCTCCAGGCTATAGAGCTAGACAGAGGATTCAGCTGTGAAACTGAATTAGAGTGAAAAAAGTGATTGTCATACTTGTCAGGAATCGGTTAGTCCCAACAGGCTTGTTTTTGTTATTCTGTCGCTTGATAAATGACTGCAGGAGCTCAGTGTATGAGGCATGATCCATGTGTGTGTGTGTGCGTCTGTGCATGTTCATTCTGTTCTGTTATGTTCTGTTCATGCGTGTCATATCATATGCTGTCGTGCCCACATTGTGGTTTATGAGTATGTATGTGTGTGTGCATGAATGAATGTCCTAATCTTCTACTTCAGTTTGTACTGCTGAACTGCATCATTCATTGGGCTTAGAAAATACTAATTTACAGTCATTATTACGCTGGACTTCTATATTCCTTTCATGCCTA